GACGGTTTTCATTCACATATACTTTAATGTTTGTTTGTAAGTAAGCACAAAGCTACACAATGAGCTATCTGTTCTCTGCCCACCAGTGTGCTATCTGTGCTCTGCTCGGTTTTTAGCGTTGTATGTCCGAAGACTTACCGCTGTGCCACTAGGGGGCGTACCTTAATGATTCCTTTCGATTTTGAGGTTGTTGCATTGAGGAACTATTGACAAAAAAATAATCAATAGAAAGTTAAGAGTATTTGTTTGTGTATAATGTCAAGGGGGAGAAGGTGGTCTGGGAGTTGCTAATTCCCAGAATACTGCTACTTAGAAGGCAATAACAAATCAGTTTTCTATAAGCCCAGTTAGGCTTACCTGCGTATAATGTTGGTCTAGACAATTGAATTTTATAAAAATATAGAAACTTGATAGTGGATAACCTTGTCAACTTAAGATATTCTTTCAGCACGTTGTCTTTTTCCGATAAGAAACGGAAGCTTCCACATGACCACGGGACCCTAGTTGAACCGAAACAAAGATTACAGCTGTTTATCGATCAAAGGAGGCAACAACAACAACAAAAATACGCTGAAGTTCGACCGGAGAAAAAGTGCACCAACTGAAAGTATTGAAAAACTTAAAACGGTTCGCGCAAACAAAGCTATGCAAAGATAAGATTTTTTTTTGTCATCGAAGCTAAAAACTTTTCTAGTCTTCTTTTGTGTTTGGACACCCGCCCGAGGGTTTCATAAAAGTTACCTTCATGATTCTTCTCAAACGTCGTTACATGGTTACAGTTGAAAGAACAATAGCAACTGTATGACGTTCTAAAATATATGGAACATTGTTGACGTAAGAATGCAATCATTAGTAAACAACAGACTACAGACTTCCAAAAAGTGCACGAATCCCATAAAATGTTCTCAGTATGGTATAAAAACCACATTGTTTTCGTTCAGTGAACATTTTTAAACAGCTGCTCGGGTAGTCTTACTGATATCACAAGTGCACGTTATCCAAGATTACTAGACAGCTGACGATAATTTGTAATAGACTAGAACTGCCCCCCCCCCTTGTTTCATGGTTAATAATTGCTTTAGATACACAGTAGGTCGACTGAATTCAACAGAAAGTTTCATGTGAAAAACTTTATTAAAGTGTTTGATTCTTTAAAGAAATTTATCTATCTATATGTCTATTGTTACGTATTAAAATTTCAAATAGCTTGAAATCGAGTTAACTGATAAATTTAAATTCAGTAGTTAAATTATACTTTGGATTTGTAGTTAAGTAAAAGCCGATATATAGTCAGTTTATGATATTTGCCAACAAGATTGATACACACAGTTTCTTTTATACAAATACGTTTTAATATACACACAACAATGCAAATTACAATAGCAGTTATTACAAATAGTTATTACAAACAATGATTTATAAACAAAAGTTTCACAAACTTACAAGCAATTTAAACTTTTCCTTTTAGTTTGGAACTTCTTGATATCTTATCGAGGGTTCACGATGAGCGGGTTGATTACGAGTTGACGTAGGTATAATTCACTTAACAGAAAGCTAGCTAGCTTT